GAAAGACCAAGATTCAAAAACTATCGGAAAATGGATTTCCTAATTTTCGATCTTACTTTAAGAGTTTTGAAGATGTACTCAAAACAAATTAAAGTTTGCTGACCAAGTCTTTTTAGTTGGTAAGAGTCATTTACATTTACATAACTTAAATACTTACACATATGAAATACATTTCATGTATTATGATTATGAAATTTATAAAATTGTATTTTTATGGATTTTCAGATATAATCGGGAAAGTAGTTAGTCGAACTGCGCCCGAAACCCGTATGGTTAATAAAGCCCCAGAGCAAATGATGGAAGTTACCTTGGAGAACCACAAGTAAGTGACTTTTTAATAACCGAATTCATTTTAATAAAAAAAATATTATAGTTTGAAAAAATTACTAAATAATTCAATTACATGATACATTATTTTATTAACTAATAACTAGAAAATTTCGACATATAATTGATTTAAAAATAATTTTAACTTTTTTTTTGTAGTGGCGTTCGATTGAATTGTACGTTCTGGGGAAATCACGTCAATGTTTTCATTGATGGATTGAGTGCATCGGAATCGACCCTTCCAATTTTGGTGTTGCAGATGGTGAAACCTAAGTTCTACAATGGGTTGAGAAATATTGACCATTCAATGGGTTTATGTAATGGTACACGGTTAATAGTAACCCTTTTTGCTAATCACTCAATACAAGAAAAAATATTATGAGGAAGCCACATGGGTGAAGAAGTTGTTAGTCCAAGACTGTCATTAACACCGTCCGATACAAGAATTCCTTTCAAGTTTCAAAGAAGACAATTCCCTGTGGTTACTTCGTACGCAATGACGATTAACAAGAGCCAGGGACAATCTCTGAAACATGTTGAACTACTGTTGCAGAAACCTGTGTTTAGTCATGGACAGCTCTATGTTGCAGTTTCAAGAGTAACTAATCGTAGTGGATTGAAGATTCTGATATGCAATGAAGACAATACTCCCACAAAGACTACAAATAATGTAGTCTATAAAGAAGTCTTTCGAAATTTGTAAAACATTGATGTTCTGTACCTTAAAATAATATAATCTCTACATTCTATTGCATCTCATTTTTTATCATTAAAAAATGATCTGAATTTAATAACATAAAAATGACCCGTGCAACGCACGGGTGTGATACTAGTAGATTATATAAGATCACATAATACATATAAACCTAAAATTTACAGAGCCCAAAGAGGCAAAGAATAAAATAATGTTAACAAATGAAAGATATTTTCGAAGGTGAACAGAAGTATAATGGATTTAGATATTCTCATGAGATGCTATTAGTGTTTAAAAGTTGGACATAAAAGAATTGTTACAAGAACTAGTAATATCAAAAATTGATGATCTCATTCATATAATAACAAAACCCCTGTTTTCTCAGGGGTAGAGTCTAAAAAGGGTAGGATGTATGCAAACCCTATGTCTACTGTGAAGAGTGGAGAAACTGTTTGTGATAAACCCTCGGCTCAAAACAAACTTATTTAATCATTTAGAGCAAATATCCCATGTTTATACATCTACTCCATGATACTTTTAAGAGCAATGCTAAATTCTACCACATTTATACAACAAAAAGAAAAGTTTGCCTTTAAAGTTTAGAAGGAAACTTGTCCATTTCTTATAAAGTGAGAAAGATTTAGCCAAACAGGCATCTATTTTATTAATACAGGAGAGAACTTCCTTCCCTAAGGAGCACAAAAAGGCCACCATCGCCTCTTGAGATCCGCATATCCTTATCAAGATACGTAGTAAGGAGCCAGGAACTTGTCCTCTTGCCGGGAATGGGGACCTTTAGAGGAGGCTGGCCAGAAACTCTGAGGGCTATACAAGCCACTGCATTTTCGAGAAGACCGAGGGATTGCTGCAGGGGAGACAAATTTATCTTCTGCCCAAACACGTCCACATTCTCCGGCAAATCAATTCTTGGCTTGATCTCAGGAGGTTTAAAGCTGCCTTCCTTAAATTCAACCTGTCAAATAATGTGCATGCAAAAAATAGCAGGAATCAAAACTCATTCAAACACTTTTCATGTCTTCTTACATTTGTATCTTAATGCATTCCTTGTGCAGTTGTGCCCAATTACCCTTTTTGGGGAACCATAAATGTTGCTGAACTCTATGTATCCAGCTCTGTCATGAACTTTTTACCACAAGAGTAAATTTTGACAAAAACACATTTCAATGAACAAGAATTATAATCAATTATTTTGAAAGCACGAGGACATGAAAAGCACCTGTTTGGAATCCCAATTTTTTGGTTATTCAGTCTTATTTTTACGAAACACAACTTATTGTACATTATGTTACTGTTTTGACTTTTGACTCCCGAAAAAACTTCTGTTTTGACTGAAATAGCTAAAATGAAAACAAATGAAAATTCTATCTTCACCTTTTAGAAATTAGTTTTAATTTAATTTGAGAAAAAAATGCAGTTTCAATACAGAGTACATTTTAAAATTTATTCAGTCCAACGAACTCATTTGCTCATTTCAGCCAATTCTTAATAAAACATGGAAATTGATCTCATACTGCCATCACAGCCAAGTTTATTTTTATTAAACCGGCTCATGAATACCTCAAATTCAAAAGGCCCATATCAAACATGGAATGCATACCTGAATTCTTGAGGGGGTTCGAACCTCAAAGGTTGCAGTAGCGCTGAATGAAAACATGGCAACGGGACTGGACAATGTCGTGGAATTCTCTATTGTAAGGCTTGAACTATCAATCGACTGAGAAATCTTTTCAACTTTAATCAACGGAATGTTGCCCACAGCAAGAAGAGGAAATAACTCAGAGAATGATGTAAACCTAACACATGGCAAAGTAATATAAGGATAAAATGCGGGGGATTCTAAATGGCCGTAGTAACATACAAAGTAAATCATACAAACATATCACTCCAATATCCGAATCATTATTTATATTCTATAACAATAAACTACTTTCATATGTTTTCATTGAATCTTTTGCGGGCCTGGTTCAACATAGAAATTAATCACATGAACACATCACTAGTCCAATAGATCCACAGAAAATGTGAAGGTTAGAAAGAGATGAACTCTTCTTGCAAACAGATGCCAGCTCCTTAGATTAATGCCAAGGCAAGAGGGTCAAAAGTGAAAGTGATGTTGACAGCAAACTGCTCTTCAATCTCTCTTGAGTTGTGAGAATCAAAGGCTAACAAATTTCACTTATATTTAAAACGAAAGAGCCTCTTTGACAGGATGAATAACTCAAGCTATCAAACTAGTAGTATGTATGATTTGAGGTCTGCACATTTACATTTACACTTCTGTCAAAACATCATTGAAAAGGAATTATAAATAGAGATAAAAAATTGCACTCATTTCACAGAGCAGTTGTTTGATAAAAGAATCTACAAAGGGCAGTCTTTGTCCAGGCATAACTGAAGCAAGCAAGAAACACATGCAAACAGAGCCCATGAACATGTGATTGATTATTCTCAGTCAGAATAGATATTCATAAAACAGCCCACATACCAACAAGATGATTATATTAAGGATTCTAATATATATATATATATATATATATATATATATATATATATATATATATATATATATATATATATACACACACACACATATATACATATATCTATGAAGAAAGAGAATTGTATTACAACGAAAAAGAAAAAGAAACTCACAGTAAAATCCAGTTTCCGTCAAGTAACTCCGGAGATTCAGTTGGGGCTGGGGTGGGATTGGCAGCCTCTAGTTGCGAAACAATTTCTAGAGCCTCAGCCTGTGTCTCCCCTGAGGCCCGAAAGCCAAAATCTGTGCCATAAACTGTGTCCACCAGACATCTCTTCAGGTCCGAAAGCTTGTCCTCTTCACCAAACCCCTGTGCCGGAGTCTCATTTCCCCCCAATTCATCTCCTTCCCACTCATCTTCATGCATGGGAGGATCGGAGTCCGAAAATTTCGTGGTCGGTTGGGCCTCCGGCTCCGACCTCTCGCCCCACTCATCCACAAAAGCAGACGGCTCATCATCGGGGGAGCTATTTACTTCGTCCGGTACGGCAGAGAGAGGATTCCGGCGGGATGGCATATTGATCGAAAAGTAGGAATGTCGGATCGAGAAGTTTCTTGATCTAGGGTATGGAATTGATGAAAGCGGAAGAGCACTGAAGGGTTTAATCGTCGTTTTCTGGGTTTTGGCGCTGAAAAGAAGGGTGGTGCACGGCGCGTGGAGGAGAGACATCGTGCTTTCACGGCAGAGTTTGATGTCCGACTCACCGCCTTGGCTACTGTTTTACAGGTGAGGGGAGCTCCCCCCCGATGGATATTTATCAATTTAGATACCAATTTGAATTTTTGAAAACATAATTTTCAATATTTTACTCTTTGAAAAAATTAAAAATGTTAAATTCCACTGTTGGTCTTTCACGTTATTATATGTGAAATTTGCAGTGAATAACACTAAAACATAAGTCATTTCCTTATATAGGACTTAAACTTTTTTATTCCCTAAATAGGACTTAATAATGACTAGTGAGAATAATAATGTTCAAGTGATGTTGGACATTTAGTTGAATAATGACTAATAAATAATGATCAAATGTCCTACTTTGGGAAATAAAAACATATGGTCCTATATTGAGAAAGTCATTATGTTTTAATCCTATTTAGGTAAATTACTCTTATTATATTATGCATGGTTAGTCTTTGTATTTTGAAAACTTCAGTAGTAGTCTTTCAAATGATGTTAGTATTACATGGTTAATTATTCAACTTTAAAAATTTTACAAATAATTTTTCAAATCACATTAGTGTTGCGTAGTTGGTCCTTCCCATAAATTTGTTGTTACTCCATGCATTTTCTTTCATTTTGTATAATAAATACACGTGAAGAACGTTATTTTTTTCATACATATGAGTAATACTTTTTGCAGATTTATTTAAATTGAAATATTAGTAAAAAAATTAAATCTAATTGACTATAAAAAGTCAAAATTTAATAAAAACGTTAAGGCGGAGTGATATTTTTTTAAATAAAATTTAAAGTAACTTATTTTATGTAAAAAAATTGGACTAATTAAAGTAAGAACAACTATTATTATTAAAAATAGACCTATATTAAATACCCTTTCCGTCCCAAAAAGTCTGTCACGTTTCGAAAATTTTGCATCCCTTAAAGTCCATCTCATTTCAATTAAAATCCCACTTTTACCACTTACTTTTTCATACATTACCTATCACATGCATCATACCTTTTTTTGAATAATCTACCCATCATATCCTACTTTTACTCATCACATCAAGGGTATTTTTGAAAAGTCAACACAAAATTATCCCTCCTTATTTTACCACTTTAATCAAAATGTCCTAATCTTTTTAGAAGGGAGGGAGTATTGTTCAATTATATGAAGAATAAAAAATTTCTCACGTGTATAAGTGTATTTAAAATTGAAAAAATATAAAAAAAATGTATGGGTTTGCGACAAAATTAATGGAAAGACCAATCATGCAACGGTAATATGACTTGAAAGACTATTCGCAGAATTTTTAAAGTTGAAAGACCTGCCATGAACAGTTAACATGACTTGAAGGGCTTTTCATGAAATTTTCAATGTTGAATGACTAACCGTGCATGATGCAATAACTTGAAAGACCAACGGTGAAATTTAGCCTTGAAAAAAATGACGTTTAAAATGATACAAATCACTTATAGACCAATTGCTTACATCAGTTTTTTTGGGGCACTTCCGGGCTGAAGTGGGGCAGCATGGATGGGATTCAGGTGGGAGGTTTAGGGAAACTCGTGTAAGCAACTGACATCAATATCACAGGTTTCATTTTAAACTCCCTCTTGAATAATCTCAACTTTACCCGAACTTTAAAAAATAATCTTACTTTTCAATGTGAAACATAATGATCTCAAATTTACAGAAATTGACGAGTGTTGGGTCACCGTTAAGGGAAAAAGACTAAAGAGAGAGTAAAACATTGAGAATATATATAAAAATAGAAGTTCTATATTTTTATTCCTGAAATAGGTGTTAAAATGAATTTACAGTACCAATCATGACCATATACATCACTAAAAAGTATTGAGAAATACTTCCTCTGCTTGAAAATAAAGTTCACTTTTCTCTTTTTCTCTTTGTGGAAATAAAGTTCTCATTTCAATTTTTAACACACAAAGTATCCCGCACCCACCCCGCACTCAATCTTGGTGAAGCAGGAAAATGGGTTATATTTGATCAACTAAAATACTTTAGGCTCTGTTTGGTACACAGAATTCAAACTATGAAATTGGAATTGAAGACTTCAATTCTAATTCTGGTGTTTGGTAGCATAAAAATCATGTGGATTTGAAATTGATAGTGCAAAAAAATGAATTGAAATTGGTGAATTCAATTCTATGGAATTGAATCCCATGAAATCTCAATTCCAATTCAATTCCATTTCCATCAATTCCGTATACCAAACGGGCCCTTAGAGTATTTGGTCAAGTTATGAATATCTATGTTTGTTTATATTTTGTAAATTCTCCTTCCTAACCATAGGGTTGGGCTCTATGTTTATTCAATTATTTAGTGAAGAGAGGTGACTCATAGGGATTGAATCAGTAGGAGCCTAATATTAACCAAAATTTGATTGGGAGTCAAGTCGGGTCTTTAACTAATACTCCCTCCGTCCCCATTTTGATTACAATATTCTCTATCTTTTTTGTCCCAAAATAGATTACAAAATGCCACTTTAGTAACATTTGCTCACCTTTAAGACAAAAGTACCCCCCACCTTTTTTAATACCCACCCCCCACATCCCTGACATTTTGAGATTCACACTCTAATCTTCTACTCCGCAGATCTCTCCTCCCCCTTCCTCTTTTATCGTTTATCTTCCCTCTCCAAAATTCCTCTTATGTCTTCGCCTTCTCCATGGACTTCAGATCCATGGATGCCTACTTTTTATTTTTGACCCAAGAATCACATTCTAGATCTAGATCTGGTGTTACAATCAATAAACTTACTTTGGATTTCACAAGAATCAGAATCAGGTGATTGAGGCCTGGCCATAAGAGGCGGAGCTCAGCGAACTTCCACCACAGGAATAGTATCAGGAATAGTATCTGTTGCCGCGATCTTCCCCGTTGATGGTCAGATTAGTCGGAACCATCACTATCTTGCGTTAATTGTTAATGCGTTCTTTGCAAGCCAAACATATATCAAGCCCACTTTGTTGTTGTACGCAAAAATGAAATTCTTAATACTTCACTCTCACTTTGGTATAGTTTGATAACTTTGATTTCTTTGTCCAATTGGCAGGGAGTGCATACTTACGGTTCCCACCATTAATACATTGTTGGGGTATTTTGGGAAAACTTTTTTTGATATGACCTATTATTAAAGTAGTCAAAAAGAGAATATTGTAATCTAAAGAAGTACAAAGGGAGTACTAAATTTGAAGGGTGTTATTTTTTTTGTATTTTAACATAAAAATAGTCATATTTCTCAACTAGACGGGGAGAGTGTAAAATACATTTTTTTATAACATTTGAAATACTGAAATCTAAGAACAATAAAAAAATACTCTAGTATGAAATTATAAAGAATCCAACTAACTATCATCTAGGCTACCAAGTACCAATAGTAAAACAAATAGCTAGAAAATGATGAATAGAACAACAATAAAGGGGATAATAAAGTTCTCTCTAATGTAAGAGATAGAACTGGTTTTAGAACAAATCCAATTAGACTGTCGTCACTGCATTCTTCTTCTACTTCTCTTCTTCCTCGAGAGAAGCTGCTGTTTCTTGGTTGTCTCTTGACAGTTCCTCCAAAGATTTCCCCTTTGATTCCGGAACCAGCAGAGTGAACACAATGCCCAGAAAGTTGACGACCGCCAAGACGATGAGCGAATTCCTCACCCCGACTCTTGCGGGGTACCCGGCGTCCGCCATGGACTTGTCCCGAGGCTGAGCCAGGTACGGGAACCCGAAGGACCCCACGATTGCGCCCAATTTCCCGGAAGCCGCCGATATTCCGTGGCAGGTGGACCGCAGTCTGGCCAGGAAGATCTCCGCCGGCACCACGAAGGTAGTGGCGTTGGGCCCGAAGTTGGCGAAGAAGAAGGTGAAGGCGTAGAGGACGACGAACCACGTTTGCTGCCCCGGCATTGACCAGTGGGCGTATGGGATCGCTAGAGCGAACATGAATATTGTCATCATGGTGAACCCGATCATCTGGATTGCGAACCTGCCCAGCCTGTCTATGGTCGCCACCGTCACCCAGTACCCGGGGACTGTGCTTAGCAGGGCGATGAGCGTCTGGCCCTGGATATCTTGAACACCTCATGGGTGGCGCTCATCGTCCTCGCTGGTGGGATCCACCCCACCGCGCTGAAGATGTCCTTCTGGAAGAGGTTCTGGCTGTAGTACGCCACGTCCAGAAGGAACCACGTGCTGCACGTGCCCACCAGGTGCAGCCCGTGCCGCCGGGCGAATTCCTTCGTGAACAGCCCGAACGAAGGCGGGGACGATTTTCCCGGGGCATTCGGTCCCGCCCTTTCTAATGCCTCTATGTCCTCTTGCAGTGTTAGAAATGTCAAACAAAGGAATTGATTGTAATATCTTGATAATATCCTTGATTGGAATCAAATTACCAATCAAGATATTTGATTAGGTTCCAATCACCTTCCTTAGTTGTCCTCTTTATGTAATTTGTAATATTTATAGACACCAAGTGTGATGTATTCAAATGAAGATGAATATTATGCTGTGATGTATTCGATCAAACAATTGAATGAAACGCAGCATTCATCATATACCATAAAAAAAATGTCCGATAAAACTCCTCAAACGGGCAGTTCCATAAACACAGAGGAATCTGACCCGAAAAATCAGCCGATCAATCTTGCACAAATTCTGGAAATTCTTCAAAATTTTCAGAATTTGGCACCCAAGGCCGAACCTATCGAGAGCTCTTCCAATCAGCCATTAAATATGGCGGAAAAGCTCAACGATAGGAACTACGCCATTTGGGCGCGCAAAATGAGTCTGGCGTTGGATGGGAGAGGGCGGCTCAAGCACATCACTGCCACACCTCTCAAATCTGATGACCCCAAATTTATCAAATGGAGACAAGCAGACTCAACGGTTATAACATGGATTCTAGAAAACATAGAATCGGATATTGTCAATCAATATATCGA